GCCCCTGGGGGGCACCGTGCCCGCCTCTTCAGGGCACAGTCCAGGCTCCCAGGACAGGTGGCCCCATCTGGAAAAGAAGCAGAGGCAGGGCAGGGTCAGGCCCTTCCCAGAGGCAGCCCTGTCCCAGGCGCCTCCACCGCCCAGGGCCGCCGGCCGGGCTCTGGCCATTGTTCTGAGGGAGCGGAACCAGGAAGACAAACAGCCGGCGGCTTATCGGAACTTCCCCGCCCCACCCACTCCCCAGGGTCCACTCCCCAGCGGGAGCCAGCCCTCCGGACGGAAACGGACCCTCGCTGACCGACAGACCAACTCCCCCGGGCAGGGCCGCTCAGCCTCCACATCCTGCCTCTGGTCTCAGGGTGCCCACAGCAGGCCTCTGGCCAGACGGGGAGCCCCGGGGGGGGGGGGGGGGGCTCCCTCTGGCTCAGGAGCAGCCAAGGATGCTGGGACCCACCTCCCCCCGCACAGCAACTCTGCCCTCCTAACCCTGCCCGGCCAGCCCGCAGCCCCAGCGCAGAGCCGGGAGGCACGGCGGAATAGGTGCCCGGCCTAGAACACAGTCATGCCCCCACGTCCCACCTCCAGCCTGTCCCCCGGGCAGAGGAGCTGCTGGGGTTGGGAGACCTGGACGGAGGCGGCCAGTCTCACTTGCTTTGGATACAAGGCCAGAGGCAGGGTGTGGAGGGCTGCACGGCCCTGCTGGAGGTGAGGGGCGGGGGGCGCTGCTCCCCAAACCACCGCTGCCAGGGGCCAGGGGCGCCGGGCACTTTGGCCCAGTTCCTGATGTGGGGCCCAGGCCCGTGTCCTCCACACACAGCCAACAGATCCCATCCTGACACTGGGGGGTGGAAGGCAGTGGCCCTGTCTGCCTCGGTTTCCCCTCTGATGCAGAAGGAGAAGTGGCCTGGCCAGTGCGGCTCCGTGGTTGAGATGCTACCTATGAACCAGGAGGTCAGGGTTCATTCCCCGTCAGGGCCGTGCCCGGGGTCGTGGGCTCGATCCCCAGTAGGGGGCGTGCAGGAGGCAGCTGATCCATGATTCTCTCTCATCATTGGTTTCTTTTCTTTTTTTTTAAATATATTTTTATTGGTTTCAGAGAGGAAGGGAGAGGGAGGGAGGGATGGAAACATCAGTGATGAGAGAGAATCATTAATCGGCCTCCTCCTGCAACCCGAGTAAGTGCCCTGACTGGGAATTGAACCATGACCTGGTTCATAGGTCGGTGCCCAGCCACTGAGCACTGCGGGCTGGGCAGGGTGAGGTTTCTGGGAAGCGACCCCCAGCTCAGGCCTGTGGCCTTGACTGGAATTGAACCTGGGACCCTTCAGGCCACAGGCTGATGCTCTATCCACTGAGCCAAACCAGCTAGGGCCATCATTGATGTTTCTATCTCTCCCTCTCCCTTCCTCTCTGAAATCAGTAAAAAATATATTTAAAAATAAGTAAATGGCCCTAGCTGGTGTGGCTCAGTGGATAGAGCGTCGGCCTGCGGACTGAGGGGTCCCAGATTTGATTCCGGTCAGGGGCATGTACCGTGGTTGAGGGCAGAGTGGGCAGGAGGCAGCTGGTCGATGTTTCTCTCTCATCGATGCTTCTAACTCTCTACCCCTCTCCCCTACTCTCTGTCAAAAATCAATAAAATAATTTTTTTAAAAAATAAATAAAATAAAGTGAAAGGTGAATTGTCTCAAAGCTGAGGAAGGTGCTGAGGCTGGGGACACCGGCCCGGCCACTGGGCGCCAGAGTCAGCAGAGCCGGCGGGATCCCCGCAGGAGAGCCGACCCTGCTGGGGAAGGGAGGGTGGGGTCCCTCTGGAGGTCGGGGACCCCTCTCAGCCGAGGCCCTCGCATTGCAGGAGGGCCCTGGGGCCCAGGGTGGGTGAGGGGCCGGGGAAGGCCCAGCTCTGTTCTTCTCCTGACCTCCGTCTTCTGACTCGGTTTCCATGGTAACCAGACACTCACGCATCCTGGCTGTAGGCACCCCCTCCAGGAAGCGCCAGCAGCCCCCGTTCTGCACAGCCCGGGTCATAGGCGCCAACATCAGGAGCTGGGCCCGGGGTTTGGGCTCGTTAAACATTAAGCCTGTGCCAGCCGGTCTGCCTGGACCCCACCCACCCGCTGGGCGCCCGGGAACCAGGCATTCCACTCCCTGCCCTGGTGCTGAGAACGCAGAGTGCACCAGGCCAAGGGTAGGGGCCAGCCTGCCTCCAGGGCCTGTGTCCAGGGGCCTCCCTACACTCCCAGCCCGCAGCCCAGGAGGAGGGGGCTGCTGCCTGTCGGGCCTGGGGCAGTCCCCCCTCCGGCCTCAGGGCGCATGAGGCTCGGGGACAATGGCATCTGGAGAGTGCCTGGCACCCCACCCCACAGTTGGGTGCGCACCGAGTCCAGAGCAGCTGACTGGCATGGCTGCTGCCCATTTCCTCAGGAGGCCCCACCGCAGGCCCTGCAGCCAGGTGGTCAGTTGGCAGCCTCTGCCTTCCCTGCCCAGCCAGGCCCTGGCCCTCAGGCCTCCTCAGGCACCTCTCTCGGTCCTGGTCATGCCAGCCCCCACCCAGGGGTGCTGTGCCCAGGAGGAAGCCGGCCTGCTCTGGCCTCTTCCAGCCCACACACAGACCCATCGCCCAGATCAGCATCCCAGCCCCGAAATCTTCCCGTGCCTCCGTCTGCTCGTCTGTAAAACGGCTCAGAACAGCACCTCCTTGCCGGGCTGCCAGGAGGACGGAGGGGATGTGTGGGCACAGGGTGTCCCAGTTCGGCCCACGGGGGCCCGGGGCCCTGCAGGCCGCCCCCGCCTGGAGCCTCGGTGCCCATCTGAGAAGCAGGGAGGGTCTCCCAGGACCCCGGCTCCTGGCTCTCTGCCCGAGTCTATCCTGGGGGTCTATCCTAACCCTAACCCTAACCCCCAGACCCCAGCACAGAAGGCAGCTTGCGGGGTCCTCCAGGACAGAGGGTGGGGAGGAAGCTTGAAACCGGAAGCCCCTCCTGCCCCCACTGAAGCCCGAACAGGACCCTAAGCCTTGGTCGGTCGGTCGAGCTGTCAGAGACCTTGGGAACTGTCAGCAAAGCAGGCCCCCGCCCAGCACC